CGGAAAAAAGTGACACTCAGCTCTTTAAAAAAATTATCCGATTTGTGCCTTCTTCACTTTCGTGGTTTGGTGCCTACATGGTCAATGCATACCCCCTAGATATGTCTCAGTACTTCAGACTTTTCAATTCTACACGGCTGCCTAAATTCAACAGAGATGAGCTTTATACAGATGAAACGGCAAAACATTTACTGGTACTGAGAAATGGGAATTTTTATGCATTTGACGTTATTGATAGAGATGGAAATATACTGAAACCTTCAGAAATACAAGCACACTTGAAATACATCCTTAGCAACAACAGCCCAGCCCCAGCCTTCCCTCTTGGCTACCTCTCCAGTGAAAACCGAGATACGTGGGCATCACTGAGAAAGATTCTACTGGATAATGGCAATGAAGAAGCTCTTCAAAAAGTAGACTCTGCAGTATTTTGTTTAAGTTTAGATGATTTTCCCGTTAAAGACTTTGTGCACTTGTCCCACACTATGTTGCATGGAGATGGCGCTAACCGCTGGTATGACAAATCCTTTAATCTTATCATAACCAAGGATGGCACTGCAGGCGTCAATTTTGAACATTCCTGGGGAGATGGTGTGGCTGTGCTCAGGTTCCAGAATGAGGTTTTTAAAGACAGCACCAAGGCACCAGCCATCAGCCCCCAGTCCCAGCCTGCTTCAGTAGACTCTTCTAGAGCAGTACAGAAACTTGACTTTAAGCTGAATGATGCCTTAAAAGCAGGAATTACCAAAGCCAAAGAGAAATTTGATGCCACTGTAGAATCACTGTCTCTAAATTTGATTCAGTTCCATGAAGGGGGCAAGGAGCTTCTAAAGCAGAAGAAGGTAAGTCCAGATGCTGTGGCTCAGCTTTCCTTCCAGATGGCTTTCCTTCGACAATACAACCAGACTGTTGCTACATATGAGTCTTGTAGTACTGCAGCTTTCAAACATGGTCGTACAGAAACTATACGTCCTGCCTCTATCCATACAAAGAAATGTTCGGAAGCTTTTGTCAGGGAACTGTCCAAACATAGCACAGAAGAGCTTCAGAAGTTGATAGAGGAGTGCTCAAAATACCATGGCCGTCTGACAAAAGAAGCTGCTATGGGTAAGTAGGAGTATATCAAACACTCTTGCACTAAAAGACCTAGTAAGGTTGCTGTAAATGTTTACTTCACAACTAAATAATTTTGATGGAGGTCTAATGTTACTGTAAACGTGACAAAAACAGTGGCAGAAGGCTGCAGTTTAAAATGCATTCTCTGAGACTTGGTGGATGAGAATACCTCTGTGCTTCCCACTTCACTGTTAATGTATTGAGAATTTTTTATACTTTAGATTTTGTCCTTATAGCAGCTGGGCTGTTTGAAAATTTGATAAATACTTGGTGCATGTTGCACTCCCCAAGGCAACCAAGAACTTTGGCTTTATGTCTGAGGAGTTGCTATCTTATCCCTGCAGGGGATAAAGGCTTTAACAACTTCCAAATCAAACTGATTCTTTGGCTGTACTACTCCTGGTATTTTTCTAGATGCTTTCTTTTGAATTGTCCTTCCTAAAAGCATAACTTACTGTATTCTTTCGGTAAAACTGACTGTTGAACATGACCCCATATAGTCTAAAATTTGCTTCCTTATGTTGATGCAAGATCCTCTTCCTCTTTAGATTCATCAATTTTAAGAAAGCTTTTCTCTGTTTTAAACAATCTGGATATGTTCAGATAAATATTTAATCAAAGAATGCAATATATTATTAAAGTTGTCTGTTAACATTTGCTTACCATCATGAATCTTGGCTGAGGCTAGCAAATCTCATTCCCTAGGATACATGCATTAAAAGTGCAGAATGTCTGGGTTCTGAAAAGTGATTCCTGCTAATGTGAAAGTAAAACCCAGTTCTATAGACCTCCTCTTTTCCGTATGAAAAACAATGTGATGTCAAAATAAGTGAGTTTACTTCCCACAGAAATTAGTCATCTCTCTAATATTTGTTATTTTATTTTAACAGGCCAGGGATTTGACCGACATCTCTTTGGCTTGCGCTATTTAGCCTTATCCAAAGGTATTGCACTGCCTGATTTCTATCAAGACCAAGCCTATGCTCGGCTTAATCACAACATCATTTCTACAAGCACATTGGTCAGTCCAGCTGTGCAATTAGGAGGGTTTGGCCCAGTGGTGTCCGATGGCTTTGGAGTAGGATATCAGGTACATGATGATTGGATAGGTTGTAATGTTTCCTCTTACCCAACTAGGAATGGTAAAGAATTCCTTCAGTGTGTACACAAGTCACTAGAAGATATCTTTAATGTTTTAAAGGGCAAGAAAATCAGTAGTTAGACATGAAAATGTTGGAACACTTTACAGTTGCAGTACGAAATGCAGACTGTGTCTAATTGGTGTATTAATCGTTGTTCAACGTGGCTGAGGCTGCCCAGCTTAATTGGCTTCATTTATCTTCACTGAACTTGAATACTGCTGGATTCCTATTTAATTTGTATCTATTTTAAAGAAATGAAGGACAGACCTTGAATGCATGTTTCAGGAAATACAAACATTCACAATGTCAAAATTAAGTAACAGATCCATCTGTTCCAACAGATCCGGGTGTTCTTAAAGCACATTATTTAAAATAAAAAGCACTGTTACCGAGGTTATGAACTCGGAACATCTGTATTCCATGAGAGTTCAGACAGACAACAGCACTGTGATACCACTCTTAAACGGTTTGATTTAAAAAAAAAAATCCATGCAATAATTTTAAATGTGAAGGAGTGGTTACATTTGCACTCTTGCAGTAAGCTTGCTTACTAACTCATCACACTTACTTTTCTCTTTAAACTTGAATTGATATCAGAATTGATTGTGCCTCAACTGCTTGAAGCCTTTCCACTGTAACAGCTTTTTGAGAAACAGAAAATGAAGTGGGAGGCTTTAAGTAACTTGCAATCACCAACTGTGTTGTTAAATTGACTGGAAAAGACTGTATTAGAATAAAGGTATCTATTAATAACCACAAAGTTCTTTTATTGCCATATCAAAATTATACAGTAGGGGTAGTCCCTTTATCAATAGCTCATGTTTCATATAAAGGTTGAAAAGAATACTACTGAAAGCATGCTGCAGTGTTGGCTTTCCCCTTCCATATGTGAAGTCTGTCCAATAATCTGCTTTTGTTTTGCTACGTAAACCTTTGCTCTTGTGCCTTAAAAAGGAAAAATCACTGAACTTTATATTTTCGGGTTCTCTCTTTCCAAACATCCTCTTACTGTGGAAAAGTAACTTCAACAGAACATTTTCCTGTTTCCTCCTTGTTCTATCAGCTAGAACTTTTGATGCCATTTACTGTAGCAAATGCCTGAGTCAGTGCCGCGAGCTGCATCTTTAATGCATTGGGTCTTGTTGCAGAAGTTCTGAAGATTCAGACTTACCAGAACTCTCTGAAGGGATTGCAGGACGTGAACAAAACTTAGTGAAGCTGTTAATGAGATAAGACTGATGCGGACAGTTCCTTGTGTGCTGTTCACAACTGGGACTCTGCCATCTACAAAGCGGGTGGTAGCAAAAGGGGAAGGGACCTTTGTCAGGAAGGGTTAAGGTTCTATTGCTGGGATCACAACACAGATGCCCTTTGCATGAGCTTCCCCTTTTTGCACAAAATTCCTTATTATATGTATAACGCGAACTCCTCTGCCTTCAAAACCCTGGTGTCTTCCACTCTGTTTTTCTTCTGGGAAGATGAGTCTTTCTCTGGAGCCGAAGAGCACAGCAGTGCTTGCTTCTGCAGCTCTGTGTAAATCTAACGCAGCTCATGTCTTTCAGCACAGCCCACCATGACCTTGACAACCATATATATTAGCAGAACAAAAAGTCTGAGCGTGTTGGTTGGATACGACAGATGAGGTTCAGAGGCTCAGAAATCTACTTGCCTTTACTCTTCCTTTGGAAGGTTCTTTTTTCTTTACCACAGTAAGTGTAAGCAATACCATATTTTTAAGTATGAACTGCAAGTGCTGGGAAAGGGAGAGGTATGGTTTAAATATCTAAGCCCAACGATTTGTAAGGTTTTCCTAGTTAGGGCTGTTTCCTCTGCAGCCTGTAATGTGATGTTCTATTTTTCCGTTGAAAAGGATTATTTTAAAACTTACTTTAAAACATACCATGATTGTTCTTGCTCATTTAAACAAAGGAATGAAGGTGATCATTTGTGGGGATGAAGGAGATATCAGGAAACAATAATCAGACCAAAAGCCTCTGAATGACATTCACTGAAGAAGGTTCTGGGGTTTGTGTTTTTGGTTGGTTTGCTTGTTTATTTTTTTTAAACATGAGAACAGCTGGCAAGATTGTGAGCATGCTTGCCAAGAAGTAGAAAATCTGTTTAACTAGAAATGAGTGAGGTTTACTTAATGACATACTCAGATTTTCAGAAGATGTAACAGCTATGTGTAAGTGTCAATAGCAGTCAAGCTTATTAAGTGTTCTTGGTAAACAAACCTCAGTGTCTTTACTTGAACTGGGTGAAAGCTATTAAAGACATACCTTTCACTTGAACAGCTAACACAGTCCCTTTACCAATACTCACAGCCATTTTCCGATGACAGGAGTGGTGAGTGAAAAGACCTTACTTGCTTATGTTAGAGGATCAAATGTGGGTACTTCTTGGTGATAGGCTATTAAAAACTTCAAGACAATAACTAGTCTAAGTAGTTACCATTCATACTGTAGTTAAGCTACAGTCCATATATATTCCCAAAAAAGACAACATTAAGAAAATGGCACAGTTCAGTCAAGTGTATGTTATTTTCAGTTTGTACTGAGGCCATCTCAAAAGTGCTCTGTGGAAAATACTTTATTAGGATGTCCTGGGGACAGTAAGTACAACGTAGGTTTCCATTTCTGAAGTACAGCCGTGTGAAAAGGAACTCCGAGGAAGCTGCATCTCTGATGGCTACAGCTCCTTTGTCAATAAGCACATCAAGATTTATTAGGGGCATAAACTTTAGCATTTTACAAATTTATGGGTAACTTCATAGATTCCAACTGATTCCTTTGTTTTTTCATCATAGTCATTCCAATCCTATAGGAAATAAGATTTCACAGTGTTAGTCACAGAGGATAGAATCAATAGTGTCTTAAACAGAGACTGGAATTCAAACTGAAAGTAAGTCTTACTCAAAGTTTGGGTCTTAGATTTCTGTCAAAACCACTATGCAGTCACTAAGCTAAGTTCTGATATCTGAGAGAAGCAAGAGTACTGACCTGAAATTAAATGAGCTTCAGTCTCAGTGCTTGAACAATTTTTTTTTTTTAATATGTAGTCCACAGTCTGTAGTGGACAAGACAGCAACCACGGCAGATGAAGGGATTATCTATCATTTACAATACCCTGGTCAGGTGGGTAAGCAGGCAAGCAGATCCCTGCCAAGTAGGATAGCAGGGAACAGATTTGACCTTGAGATTCTTGCTCACAGCCAAGGAAGATTTGCAATGCTGGAGTCATTATCCCAAGCTTTGAAGGACAGTGTCTTTATGTTACTTTTTAATATCTCTGTGCACAGGAAAAAGTGCAGGCATCTTCCTAGAAAAATTAGTTCACCACTCTGAATAACCCCAGCCATTTAATATTCTAGCTGCTTGCTCTCTGAAATTCCTGAGTGCCTTAAAGTTGCATTTCTGCCTTTGCCAGCTGCTAAGCTATCAAATGTGTACTTCTAAAATGACACTGTTAGTAATGCTGGTTGTTCATAGTTGATCTCTCCAATTATGACCTTCCTGTGCCAACATGAAAGAGCAAAACTAGTCTCTCGCATGTGCAGGGTGTGTATTTTGGACTAGTGACTTAGAGAAAGAAAGCTAGGTACTTAGATTTACTAATGAAACTAAGACAACGTACCTTTTCTAACAAGTTTATGTCATTGAAGGGTGTGCCAGATTCTGCACCTTCAGCAGCAAACCCTGCCTGCAAACAGATTTGCAGTAAGTTTTTAAGACTAAATTGTACCAAAAAAAGGAAAAAAAGTCATTGAAACATGTTTAAAGAAGGTAACTCAGCACAAACTTTTATTGTATTTCTTTCATTTTAGAATTCACAGTTATCAAGCTGTAAATTAAGTTTTATTAGTTTTAGAAGTAAATTTAAAAATCTCAGCCACCTCTGTAGCATACAAGGTTTCTTACATTGCCATTTCCAACTACAGCATTTTATTAAGAAGTGGCTAAAAAGCAAAGGTAGCTTCTTCCTGATTTTCTGCAAGGGATCTACACTTCCATTTTTGCTAAACAAATCCCCACTAGTGCCAGTCAGACACTTAACTGTGTAAGAATGTGTGAAGTAAGTAAGATTTTAAAATACTTTGTGATTTGAATGGAAGGTTAAGCACTTGGGAGTTAAAATAAACCACAGACTGTGGCAGACCAGAGAGCTATCTGCAAGGCAGAGTGTGAATATGGCCTTTATAAAATTGTCAGAAGCCCATCTCAAGGGAACTGCTCGGGATGGAGAGGAAGATCAGCATCATGGGACAAAAGTGCAGAGCTGCAGCATAGAACAAGCACTGGAAAAATAAAAGAAGCCCTGCTTTTGCCACCTGGAGATATTCACCAGCTCTCTAAGGAAAAACAAGCCATGTGACTGGAATTACAAGCTTCTGTACTGGACACTCAGCAGCACTTGCGTTCTTAGAGCTCTGGCGTCAGAGCAGAGTCATTTAATCTCTGCAGAAGGAAGCCGTGACTTGTCTGCCCTCTGCTGACAGGCGAAGGACCAACAGCTAAAGCATAAACACACCAAAGAAGTGAAAATGCCCATTGACTTTACAACATGATGAATTGTCACACTTTTGTTACCAATGAAACTGTTGGTTGTGCCACAAAGCAAAGAAGCTTAAGAGGTTTAAAAGAAATTTTGCAGAGAAACCTCAGTTTGTAGTTGAAGCATTCACTTCAGGGACATGGACAAGAAAGGAGCTGAAGTATCAAGTGGAACAAAAAAACAATGTATCAGATTTGCACATTAAGCACATTAAAGAAAAATGATGTCATTTAGGGAAAAAATTGTCCTGGCCTATTATTAGAACATACAAGTACCTAGTTTGAATTTGTTGCTACTACTAGGTAGGAAAAGAGGGTTTGTATTAGGGAATCAAAGGATACTTCCTCCGCTTTCAGAATCAAATGATTTTTTGAGAAAACTACTACAATTTAAATAAGACATGCAAGCATTAAGCCATTCTGAAGTGACTTCTGCTATGGTTGTATTGTGTCTATCAAAAAATACAAAGAAAGTACAGTAATGCTATGGCCAGATGCCATGTTTGGTGCTAATCAAAAGCCAGATCTAAGGTGGTGAAGCCAGGCTGGCTTGGATCATGTCAAATCTAAATCAGTTTATAGAATTGTGTGGAACTGCAGAAGTCTATATATTCACTCATTTAGGCATCAGAAAATTCACTGAAATATCTGCTCAGGGATTCAAGTGTACACTCCAATAGAGTGCACCAACCAAACGTTGAGAATATTAAATTAAAAGCTTTATTACAGCTGTGAAGTCTTTGTTCTGCTGATAAAAATAAAATTGACAGCTAGGATGCAGAGCTATAAACATCTACCACATTTTGAAGTCTTCTCATACATTTTTCTTGAAGTGCAACTTCCTAGGTCTGGCTGCAAAGCTTTCAAACAGGAATAAACTAATAACCATTCTGTTCCTCAAAATATAGGCTTCACAAATAAACAAAAATAAATAAAAGACCTCCCACAGCACACTGCAGTGGTGATTTTATTTATACCGAATTCATTGTAGGATCAGCTTTTTTGGTCTGTTTCTCAGCACAGTGTCACAGTCTGAGGGAAGGATAAGACAGGTTTATATTTGTCAGTCTATTTACACCTAATCCGACTGGAATAATAGGTTAAATATAGTAGGGAGTTAACTTGCATACAGCATGACCATGCACAAGCAAAGGAATCACTGAAGACTGGCTTGGCCCTGAAGAAATCCTTTAACTCTGAACCTTGAGGTGTGCTTTGCAACAGTCTTTAACTGCTGTTGATCTTCAGTCTTTGATCAGGTTTCAAATGGAGAAATGCCAATAATAATTTCCTATGGCTCTGGTGATGTAAAATCTCAAAATTTTATTTTTTTTTTTAGAGGCATGAGGACTGCTCATAACCTGAACTTACTTTACTCTCTGTAACATACCAAGAAGCAAAGCGGCACTCTCCTGAATGTGGCTATCTAACTATGCATTCTCACAATTCCCCTTTAGGAAAGAGTCTCTTTTGCAATAACCTGAGCAATGAAGACTGTTCAAATGAATTGGAATGAGCAGTGCTGAGTCACCTGCTAGGCAATGTGAATATGATTCCAAGGTGTGTTAGTTTTAGATTTTACTGGCACAACAGATACCAGAGTTGTTAGTGTTAGCTGACTGCAGGTTGTTTTTTTGGAGTCAAATGAAGTAAAAGAAAGAACTGTGGAGAGGATGGAAAACTGGGGAGGTCTAGGTCGTTCCAGGGAGAACAGTACCATTTCAAATAGTGTGTTATTTTATCACTCTAGAGTCTATAAGAAGTACTCTTAAAAACTGAGAAACAAATCACAAATAAGAACTCACCTGTGGCTGAAAGTCAACCGGTTCTCATTCAAACTCCACTATTGTTTTGAATTTCTCACTGTCTTCAGCCTATAATTGAGTCAGAATACCATTACTTTTCATCTCATAGGGAAAAGCAGTGACAAGCATTAGTGTAGGAATGAATTGGTTTAAAGGCAGTACTATCAGCTCTGATGTCCCAAGTGACAGCAAAATCCTAGGGCTCATTTCACAGGTGGTAATTAACTAGAATTTCTTAATCTGCTACAAGGAAGCCTTCAAAAGGAAGCTAATATGGGCATTATATAATCACTTCTAATTTGAGTGATAGAGTTTTGGGGCTTGCTTATGGAATGTATCAGAGTATTCTACACTTGATACTGTGAGCAGGAGCCTACAGGAGACAATTTTCTGTCAGAGAAGAACACCAGCTTTTTGTGTTCTTGAAAGAGGAACGTGATGACAAAGCAAACCCAAAATATTATTAATGCTTATTTATATTTCACTTGTCATATAAAAGAGAAAACTTACATTGTAAGGCTTGATTGTTTGACTTAAAATATCTAAAAAAAAAAAAAAGTGTAGAAGTGAGTGGCATTATGTCTTCAGTTTTATTCAGCACAAATGAAACACCAGCTGCTTCTTTCAAAGACATTTCCATATACAAAGTAAAAGAAACAAAGTAACCAAGCAGTTCCTGCAGTTGCCCCTCAAAACTAGAATTCATTTTTTCTCACTTCTCCTGAGAAGTTTACATTACACCATTCTGTTACCTCACCAATGCAAAAAAAAAATTGCATGCTTTTGTAAAAGGACATCAGGGATACGAGTTTTGTTCATGAAGAAGCCTGAACTCACCAGGAGGCCTTGCTGTCTCCTTCATGAGCATGATGACAAGTGTGTACCTGTTGTGAACTCAAGCACCAGTATACAAGGAAAAAAAAAATCCTTGGAGACTGCGCTTTACCAACAGTGTCAAGCAAAAATGGAGACTAAAAAATAAACTGAGGAGAAAAAGCGTAAAATGGATGATGCCTCTTAAATTTCTAAGCACATACCAATGGAGTTCTCCCTGGAGCACAGCTTGCATTTCTGCACCATAGTGGCACTTCCTCTGCCTCCTTTCAGGGGAGCACTGTCCTAAAAACCATGACAATGGAGACATCATTTTTAACTGCACTCTAGCTGAGCCACTGGAAACCTCTGCAAAGGTAAAGTAGTTTTTACAACAATGGTCTTTAACTTTTAAAAAATGCAGTGAGGGCTTTTTTTAAACTAGAGAGATCAATAATTCAGAAAGCTGTGATCATCAGAGAGTAATTCTGTTCTATAATTAAAATGGTGAATAATGGATAGTTATGCCTTGTCCATGTAGGCATGTTCCATTAATTCCGCAAAATATGTTCTTACCATTCAGTAGTATGCAACAAAAGATGATTATTCATAAGAACCTTCTCTTACCCCTTACAGATTTCATCCTGCTTTTTCAGTTTCCAAATGCTAATTCAGCATGCTTAACTCACCTTGAATTACCTAATCTTCTCCAAAAAGATTCCATCAGCATCAGAGAAATATGACATAGGCACAACCTTATTCTTGTATCACTTCCAAATTTGTTTTCAAATTATATTTTTACAGAAAGGTGGCTTTTCAAAACAGACATAAATACTTTGTCACCAACAGTCACTGTTCCAATGATGCATTTCAATTAACAGTCTCCAAATATTTTTTCTAATATGGAATATGACAGCATTTCCTGAATGCATATAGCTATTAAAATAATATTTCATCTGAAGTGCAAGTCGTCACATCCCTGTTGCTAGTATCTGCTGCGTGTAAGAGGCAGGTATCATTTTTGTTCTGACGCAGGTTACAACAGGGAAACATACCATCAGTCGCAGATACTGCCATTTTTCAGAAACTTCACCACAGTTCCCACATTTCAGCTGAAAAATAAGCATAAATCAGAGAATTTAAAGCTGTCAATAATCAGGGATGAAAAAGCTGAAGGAGCTGATGTGAGCCCCCCAGGTTCACAATCCCCACTGCTGCACAGCTGAGAGGAGCTGGAGGCAGGTACGAGGTGCTGTCTGTCCCGACAGACCCGTGAGCTGACTTGCCCTGGTGGGTATGCCCGCCACAGAGGGTCTGCCCTGCAGCGTGTTGGATGGACAACGTGTTACAAAACACGGTCATGAAATAACAAGTTGGGCTTGTTCAGCCCGGAGAAGGCAAGGCTCCAGGGAGACCTTCCAGCATTTAAAGCGGGCTACAGGAGAGATGGGAGGCACTCTTCCTCAGGAAGGGTAGCGACAGAAGGAGGGGTAATGGTTTTAAACTGAAAGAGGGGAGACTGAGATTAGATATGGGAAGAATGTGCGGGTGGTGAGGCAGTGTCCCAGGTTCCCCAGAGAAGCTGTGGATGCCCCATCCCTGGAGGGGTTCAAGGCCAGGCTGGATGAGGCTTTGGGCAACCTGGGCTAGTGGGAGGTGTCCCTGCCCATGGCAGGGGGTGGGACTGGATGATCTTTAAGGTCCCTTCCAACCCATTCACCTGGGTTACCTGCCCATGTATACGGGATCACCAGCCACCTCACCAACAGGGGCACGGACCAGAACCTTAAGACTTCATTATTGCAAACTAATGTACGATGTATGCATGTGCCAATGTACATGTCTCTGTACTCATGCCATCCCATCCGTTGCTCCTGCAGCAGCCCGCTTGTGCCGTTCCAGCCGGGCGATGT